GATAATCCTCAACGTAGAATCTGTAGTCCTTCCGAGAAGCCATCATCCATGCTAAATCCTCCGTGGAGTATTTATCGTAGATTTGCCGTAGTTCGGAAACCGTTGAGTTCACCGAGCTGACTCTATCAGAATTGTCCCCCGTCAACGATTCCCTAATTTGCGATAGTTGCCTGCGGATATGGCTGTCGGCTAAAGCTACTCGCCGCCGCAATACGTTGAAGGTAACCGACATCGTAGATTTGTCCTGGAACCTCTCCATGGATAGCGTGAACCGCAAGTCTGCGTCGACGTTGTACATGGATGCGGGATCGCGTTTGCTGAATGAAGTGAGATTCTCAAGAATCTGTTGAGCAGCGTGGACGACGTGGGCTAGTAGATATAGCTGCGAGAAGGAGACAGTCCAGATCGTATCCCCGCCTTCATCTCGCACGAAGGGCAGCACGTTGATATCACGTATTGTTAATGCGCCCACTTGTTTCAGGGCGTCCGATAGATTTGCCCACAATCCGTCTTGTCGGGGCATTAGGAAACGCACTAGGATATCCCTCAGTTTATCCGTTAACGCCTCATCCATGTCCGGGAGGAGGCCCGTTTCTTGGTCTAATCCATAGTCGCGCAGTAGCTCGTACTCGTTGGGATCCGGGTTCAAGTGCAGACGGGCTACTGTCAGGAATAGTGGTTCGTCTTTGTATAACTCCATGCGAGTGCCTAGGCCTTCGAATAGCGGGGTCAGCTCAGGCATGAGCGACTCGCCTCCCTCCTCACGACGATTGTTGAGGGCAGCGGTAACGCTATAGTCGGAATTCGTCGCTAGAGGAACCTTCTGCGGAGGACGAGATCCAGTAGATACCGAACCGTTGCGAGGAGTAGCGTCGCTAGTCGTGGGGGAAGCAGACATTGTACCAGTGGTAGACGGCGAATTTTCGTTGCTCGAGTATAGTTGGTCCTCGACCGAGTCTTCGGAATGGGCGCCCGTGGACTGGCCGCTAGTTGCGGAGACATTGGGCGACGACGTAAAGGCGCCTCCAACAATTGGGGCAGCCTGACTAGACCCGGTCGTCGCTGTGTCGTCGTCCGGAGAAGGGCTTTGGGCATGCGAAGGAGACTTCAGGATTCCGCGTTTCGCGGCGAAGTATACGGAGGGTGGGGGCGTAGCTCTAGCTGCTGAAGAAGCGGTGGGCGCAGACATTCGAGTCGCAGCCTGTCCGCCTGGGCGGGGTTTCGTGGCGTACATATCCAAGTGGTGGAATTCGCCTTGAACGTTGCGGCCGAGTGAGTTGGAAGTCGAGCGAGGAGCTGGACCTTGTTTTCCTGAGGAAGGTCAATTGGAATTCGCCATGGGATGGTAGATAGAATCTTGTTGAAAGTACGCTCGTCGAAGTTTTTTAACAAAGAGGTCGTAAGCGAGTCGTTCGACGGGTGAAATGTTTCAAGTTTTGATAAGGGTCGTCCGCCAGGGATGAAGAAAGCGCTACGGCGTCTTGCGCTAGCGAAAGTACGCACGTCGTGGGCCCCCCAAACCAGGCTGGCTGGAAGGGGAGATGTTGCCACTTCTCTGCCCGTGGACAGCCCCTCGCGGTGGGCTCCATTGTGATGCTGCACGAGTTTTTAGGGCTGGCGGTGCCGGAGAAGTACGTAGTTGTCGGTGAGGCTATCCAGAGCGATGACGAGCAAGGAAGGGCGGCTACGTGAGTAGCGCCGGCAATCCCGAAGACGCGGCAGCTCGAGGAAGCGCCGCATCGAGTTGGTTGGAGCCTTAATTGATACTCTCTTGTTCCCGGTCTCCAAGGAATAGAGAGGAGCAGTTTTACGCGTGCTCAGGCATGCAGTGGGTCCAACCGTTACGTGGTTCGCGTCGAGAAACAGAGATCGGACATGGAAAGCAGAGTCAAGTTATTATTTGATGTGACTCGATGTCACAAGTATGTAATCTAATCGTAAGTACAGTAAAGTGAAGCAAGTTCAAATAGTATGCGCTTTGATATATATATACCTCTCACACTTATACTACAGGGTATCTATGCTATCAATCGGTATCCTATCAATCCCTCCTACATGTCCGATCTACTCCTCCCTGTCAAGCCACAACAGCAGTTGTCCCTGCCTTTGGTATATGTATCTGATCTCTCCTTAAGCGCAATCCTTGGATACATTGTGGACGATGTGTACTGATGGCGTGATGCGCCGTATATGATGCACCATCAGTCGGTTTCATGACATCACCCCCCCTTTAAGGCACTCGTCTCAAGTAGCCGTGAGAGCGGGTTCCCTTTTTTCAGATCTTGAATTTTTTTGTATCGGAGATCCAATATGGTTCGGCGCTTGTAATTTTCATTCGGAGTTTGAACATCCTTGGTGCCTCGTGTTCAGGGTCGTTTGTATGCTTGGTTACTTTTGGTTCCTTGGAATTTGCTCCTGCTGCGGCTTCCAAAGCTTGTTGGGTTCCATGTGATTTTCATGGCTTCTTTTGGGACATGACTAAAGTCTTGGACCCACAAGTCACACCCCTAACGGGGTTAACTAAACTGCACGTTCCCAATCCGGGTTGTTATGATTTGTTGGTCCTCCTGTCTTCACGTGTCCATTTAAGACACTGCAGAATCAAAATGTATCTTCCTTTTCTTTCCCTCCTTCCTCCATGTCGTCCCCTCGCCATATTCACGGTCGCTCGGGTTTTTCCCCCGTCTTCTTCTCATCTGCTCTCCCCATCCTTCACTGTCGACAATCCGCTGCCTCCGCTTTCGCGGTTTTGTCGTCCCTGCCATCATGGTGTCGAGCAATATAATTGGTTCATCTCTTTTGCATATGGGCCCACTCCATCTCTCAATGAGTCTTCAGTCAAGGACACAGCATTGCCGAAGAGGCGGAACTTCACCTCATTGCTCCATCTCGCTTCATCGACGGTCTCCCTCTTCACACCACCATTCTCGACCCTCTCTATGCCCCGCTCGCCTCTTTGCCGGTTTCCGCTGGACACGGTATTTTCTCAGTTTCTTCGCCGTCCAGTATCTGAACACAGCCGGTGCTACGGATGCCGCCCACTACCGTTTCGACGGGTCTACGGCAACGGCCTATGGATAGCCATTGCCGTGCCATCGGCAATTTTGGCGCAAGCTGCTACGGAACGGGTCAGACCTGTATGAGCCGTAGGTTTATGGCCTTTACGGCCGTCGCTATGGGTTGACGGGTTGATGGTCAGATTTCTAGCAGATTTAGCAGATAAGCGATCACTCACACCTGCGACAAGCTTGCCTTGTGCGGCTAGATATCGGCTAGGCTTGCATGCATCTGATTATCTGCTCAGCACGTTGTTATGGCCTCCAAACAGCGGTCAACAGCTCTGATACCGGTGACAGTGTGGTGACGGTATAGGTCTGCAACTGCAGATTTCCGGCGGGAACATGTCGAAGGCATATCTAATGTGTCTGTAGATGGTGACTCCATATACAGTAAGCCTTTTTCTTTCGTTCTTTGCCCCGGCTATGCGGAATTGTATCGTTTCCTGCCATAAACTGCAGCACTGAGAACATATTGGAGTTTCTTCATCTCAAGGAAGTCATACCCGTGCCTGGACTCAGCTTTGGCTTATGATAAATCTTTCAGGACCTGTCGACCCATCCTGTAAGCCATTACGGCTACTCTGTAGCCCTTCCTGTGCCTGCAGACCCTCCTGATGCCCTGCTCCATAGCTGTGGAATTGACGGCCGTTGCTGTAGCTCACCCATTGATTTGACGGCCATTGCCGTTACGGTAACGGGTGGCATCCCTAGCCGGCACATTGTGGTTTCACTGGGTCTGCCTCTTCCCTCTCCCCAGCGGGTTCCCCTGGGTCTTTGGTCACGTCCTCCTCTGCTCGAAGTACAGTCCCCACAACTCAACGTTGGAAATCTCCCGCCCTCTCAGGGTGCTTGGTCGTCGTTTGCCTGGGCTCAGGCTCTTTTCGACCAGTATGTTTCCACATTTCGTTGGATCCCCATCCTCGCGGGCCCCCGCAACATGTGCTTTGGCGCGGTCTTTGACACATTTGAACGCGATTACGTGTTGCATTCTAACCCGGCCGCTAGCTTGACCAACTACCTATCTGTGCTGACAGTCACATTCGGCGACCACCCAAGCGGTCACTTGTCCGAAATAGTACAGTATTGCTCAGATGGTATAGCTGGACGACGCATTCGGGTGTATCTTCAAGCACGGAGTGAAGATCTTACTTGAAGGACTGGTTGATGAGGTGGATCGGGCAGATGGGTTGGGCTAGCTCGTGTCCGGCACCCAACTAGCTTGGCATGATTGCGCGGCAGAATCATTCCTCGACCTGGTCTGCATCTTGTCTGCGTCTCCTGGGAACATGTCATGATCATATATGGCAAGCACATCACAGCAGCTTGGGAGCAGCTCCGAGCATATTTTCTATCACAGAGCACATCCATGCACATTTGGGCACCCTACAGCATCTGTGTTTTTCACTGGGCCTGAACCGTTGCACTAATGAACACGTGAGGGGAGTGTGTTGTTACCGAATGTCTGGCTATCTTCAACAAGGCGAGGTGTATACCGATCCATCTGCCAGCTTCTCGCATTGGTTCCAACTTAAGGCCGAGAGGTGTGATGCTGCTCGGTTGTGTCAGGGCTGGCGGGCCGTAGCGTATACGAGTAGTTGTCTTGAGTAGGTGGCGGAGGCTCCCAGAGCCGGATAAGAGTCAACGCTGCCCGAGAGGGTGCGTCGATGTTCATAGCCGTGATAATGAACGTGTGAGAGGGAGGGTGTTGTTATACCTGGACATCTGGCTATTCAACAAGGCAAGGTGTATGCCAGCTTTCTTGCATCGGTTCCAAAAGGCCGACCTACGCAATGTGGAGATCATTGAGCCGGTTGACTGCAAGTTCATTGTGTGCTTGATCAACAACACGTTGGTGCTCATTGACCAGCATGCTGCAGATGAGCGAGTTCTCGTTGAGCAGTTCCTCAAGCAGCTGTGGGACTTATATTTGGGATTTTGAGTGCCATTGTGGCGAAATGGTTATCGCGTCGTTTTCCTACTGCTAGCGCTAAGACGAAGGCTGTGGGTTCGAGTCCCACCAGTGGTTTCGATTTTTGATGTCATTCTTCGTGACACCCGCCATGCAAATGTCCTCTCCGCCGCCCGATGGCCACCTCCACGGACACATTTCAGCCCAGTTTTTTTCGCATACCAATAGTATGTACTTTTTTGCACAACATATCCAAATCTCAATTTTATTGGTTCCTTCGTTGTTGAGTTCTGGTGAAGTCAGTCGAGCAAACCGAAATGATCTGAATCGCCAGTACAAATTTTGTCACAGCTTCGATGCAGCGTCAAACCATGCGGAACATAATATTTTGAACCTGTGGGATGTTGAGAAGGGTCTCACTATGCACCATGCAAATTTTCAGAGTGAAAGGGCAAGACCTGAGGGAGAAATGGTGTCGGGGCAAAACAACTGATCTCGGGGCTGCACAATTTTATGCTGATGCCGTTTTTCATTGGATCGCCTCAAATTTTCCTATGCGCACTCTCGGATAAGCGGGACATGGATTACGTTTTATTTTTAAGAGGCTCGGAGCCGGTGGAGGGGAGATATGGTGATTTTTTGCATTGGTGATCACCTTTGCAAAGCTGGTGTCACAATAGTATCGACGAAGAAGGACCAAGCGCTAGCTCAAGCAACACCGCTCAACAATCGGGAGTAGGTAATATTCTCCTTGACTTAACACCCTGAGGAACCATTATGCAATTCCACCCCCATCTGCAATCCACAACACGATATCGCGACGGCTGCCTGTCCTATTACCTCCAAAATTTAATATGGTCCTACACTTCCTATCTCCCAACATCCTGGCAAATTTACATGGTGCTGAGAGCCGTACTCATTGCACGGCAAGATGAGCAGTTGTCGAAATCACCATCAGACAAGTTCTGAGCGCTGTATTCTCATTCCCTCTGGAGCTTCCACTACCAAATTTGACACAGATCATCTATGGACCTTCGAAAATGTCTGTGCCAAATCCTGGATTTTTCCATGTGCTGCATCCCTCACACCTCGGCCTGTATCTTAGGGATCTTTTCACAGAAAAAATTGAAATTTCGCAAGGCTACAACTAGAGCGAGTCTTCTATCGATTTACACAAGTTTTGGAAAGAACGGTGCGAGGCGCCATCAGAGGCGATTGCAGATTGGGGCGCCTATATGTTCGCGTCACTGAAAAAGTCTCCCAGAAATCTGGTTCAGAATGTTGCTGCAGCAGAACGGAGTGATATTTGTGCTGATACCAGAAGCTCTCAGCAGCGCTAGGGAAAACACTAGGTGCAAGCAGACAGAGGCGGGGCGGAGTACATGAGAAGAGCACTGCTGAAATGTCACGAGTGTGACAAACAGGTAATTTTCAAAGGATCAGACCGGGCCAGCTCAGCTTTCTCTGTAGACTCCATCTAGACATGGCCTCACCCGTCGCAGGCAAATGGGACGCCAGGTAGCCTTTCTGTCCTCTTTCTTTCTTGACAGCTTAGCACGTCTGCAGGTACTCCGGCCCCGTCCAGCATGATTCCAGCTACTACGCAAAGGCGCTCCTCGGTGGTGCCCTGGCTTGTGGTGTCACCCACGCCGGTATTACGCCTCTGGATGTCGCAAAATGTAACATGCAGGTGTGAACTGACCTCGCCTTCGGGACGAAAAAAAAACTGACATTTCGTGCTAGGTCGACCCGCTCAAATACAAGGGTCTTTTCCCCTCCCTCGGTCTACTTGTCAAGGAAGAGGGCAAGACGGGTATCTGGAAAGGACTTGGCCCCACCTTTGTCGGCTACTCGCTCCAGGGCATGTTCAAATACGGTCTCTACGAGATTTTCAAAGACCAGTACATGAACCTCGCCGGCGAGGAGTTGTCGAACAAGTACAAGCCCGCCATTTGGTTGGCAGGTTCCGCCTCTGCTGAAGTCTTTGCGGATATCGCCCTCTGCCCTCTCGAAATGACAAAGGTCAAAATTCAGACCAGCGCAACCGGCACTTTCCCCACCGCCTTCGGTCCTGCCATCGCAAAGATGCGCGCCACCCCCGACAGCCGTTTCCCATTTGGCTCCCTTGTCCCTCTGTGGTCCCGTCAGGTTTGAAGAGCTTGTGTTTATCCATACTCTGCCCTCATGTCTTGCAGATTCCGTACACCATGGCCAAGTTCTTCTTCTTCGAGAAGATCGTCCAGCTCTTCTACACCCACGTCTACACCCAGCCCAAGGAGACCTATAGCAAGACCACGCAGCTCGGTGTCACGTTCGCGTCTGGCTACCTCGCCGGCATCATTTGCGCTGTCGTCTCCCACCCGGCCGATTCGCTCGTCTCCCTCCAAGGCAAGGCTGAGAACAAGGGCAAGCCTCTCGGTCAGATCTACTCGGAAGTCGGACTCAGCAAGCTCGCGACAAAGGGTCTCGGTACGCGTGTTGTGATGATTGGTTCGTCAAATTTTTCTGTCCCGTTTTTCTTCCTGTGTTTATCCATCCTAACTAGGTACTTTGACCGGCTTCCAATGGTGGATATACGACTCGTTCAAGGCCTCCATGGGCATGGGCACGACCGGTGGCAAGTAAACACCCTCAAAACGTAGGCTCTTGTTTCTCCAACACGAACGTGTGATGAAATTATCACAGATCATTCGCGGCACGCACTATTTACTTTCTCGACTAGATAGAGTGTTCAATGGAACCTTAATGCCTTCTAATGATATGACCTCCAGTCACCAGTGAAGCAGACGAGCATTTTATTTACAGGGTCTACAAAGGTATCACTACTGGGCCTTGGTCTTGGCCTTTTTGCCTTCTCGCGACTCCCCTGCTAGCCATACCGCTGAGAACAAGAAAAACCCGACGCTGGTGCTGATCGCTCCGACGTAGAACGGCCATGCAGCGCTAAGGAAGCGCGGGTAGCCGTCATGTCTCGGTGGAACAAGCGAAACCGTTGTCGAACTGTGCAGGTGCGTCCATCTAAGAATGGGCGCGTCAGAAGCTCGGCTCAGCCAGTCAAACAAAAAGTATACCCTTTACGCTTGTAGTTTACGACGAACTTGAAAACGCCATGACGGTCGGGTGCGCGGAAGCTCGTCGAATACTTTCCTGGTGAGCCAGGTACGGGAGGGAGAGCAGTCCGGATATGAGGATCGAGCATCGTAAATTCGAGCTGCATATCGTGGATACCAGCGTACGGTGCCCACTTTCCGGATTTCGGGTTGAAGCGCGAAATGTGGGCAGCAAAGACCTGCCACGAGTCAATAAAGCTCAGAAGAAGGTATAAACACGCACGATGTTATCGTTGGTCGTGTAGCTTTCCAACGACTCGGTTGAGTTGACTAGGTGGTGCTCAGTGCTGTCGATACGCAGGACCAGGCTCTCCTGGAACGTCCAGGCAGTGAGGTCGCGTGCAAATTGCGTGTTGCCGGACCTGACTCCCCTAGCAACAATGAGAATCAACGCGAGAAAGACGAAAATACGCACTTTGCAACATCCTTTTTAGCCAGGGTGTTCTTGAGCATGTCTACTCCGCCGAGCCACGCGATACGAGCCCCGCCGATAGCCTGGAATCCAGCCACGACGCTAACCTGGCTGCCGGCCCAAAGACCTTCGCCACCCTTGTCTCCCGCGTCGACAAGCGCGTCCGCACCAGAGCTTATATCGCCTGCGAAGCTCTCCGGAGGCGCAGGAAGTATGGGGAACAGAAGAGGATTGCTTCCCAAAGCGATAGGAACGCCAGAGAACCAGACCGGGGCAAGGTTCGTAGACAGGATGTTGGACGACGCGGGCGGGGCAATGGGGATTAAAGACGGAGATTCCTTGCGTTCGGGGAAGAAGGAGAGCAGAGGTGTTCCGGGCGGAGGTAGGATGAGGGAGAATTCGGCAGCGAGGGAGGAAATCGGGGTCTGCTTCTGGGAAAGCGCAACAAGTAGGTTCGTCCCGCCCGACACAAGCTCAACGAGCGACTGCGGTGTAATGTCCTTGGCAAAGTCTGCTGGAGTTGAAAATGTGCGCGCGTTGCACAATTACAGACGCACTTTTGGATTCCGAGGCTAGAATGACAACATGCGAGAAGGCGGGCACGTCGTACTCAACCAGCGCCGGCTTCTCGGCTTTGGGCGCCCTGAAGGAAAGGTCGTATCCCTCCGCTGCTGGGGTCAGAGAAGATGCTATGGGGCTTAGCCAGCCACACCTTTCAGGTCGTCGAAAAAGACGCTGAATTCATCCTTCTGCGCGTCTTCTACAATGACGAGGACAGAGTTTCCGTCGCTGGACTTCGCGTGGAGTAGACCAGAGAGACTGAGGAGGAAGACAACTAATAACGAGAGCATGGGGTCCGGCCAGCACAGACTGGGAAAGAAATGAGAGCAAGTTCCACGTAGGATGTCACAGCGCGTCAATATGCTCGAAGGCGTTCAGATATAATTAGCCTCCGTTCACGACTGCTCAAAGAGTAATTTGGGAACTATCTAAACCAAGCGCGTGCAGGAATAAATTAACATTCGCGAGCTTTGTCCGCCTCTCTTCTTCTCCTGCAACCCAGCCCTTGTTAGCACTAAGCACATTCTCCAGCACCTTTTCCCGAAGCGATGTGACCAGCACTTGGTGCTGTTCGGGCACCGCCTGGAGGGCGAGCGCGGCCAAGAACTGCCACACCGGCTGGTCGATAATGTCAATTGCGAGTGCAGCATTCGCAGGATGATGCGCCTGAAGCGCAATACGACTCGAGGGGAAGAGGCGTAGCAGGTGGGGAGTGAGGAGGACGAAGAACTGGTCAAAGACAGCTTGCCTGTAAAGGAAAGATTCAGATTAGCAGTGACACAAAAAGAGAGGACAGACCATTGCTCGAGAGATGCGGCGGCGGACATGGGGTCAACAGGCTCCGCGCCCGTAGCCCATGCTTGTTTAATAACCTCAACTCGACTGAGGAACAGTGTCAACAAGGCTAGTCCAGGCTGGAGGGAATTAGATATACGATCGTTCAACGACGAAGCGATGCTACATACCTTGGTCTGTGCGAGGAAGCCAATGTTCTCGCTTCGATCAATCAACAGGCCGAGCAGAGCCGTGACGAC